TTAAATAAATACAGTTAATAATGTTAAATAAATGAATGCAAGATTCCTTGTAAATAAAGATTTACTACACAATAATGAAGCCATCATACTTGAGCGTTTACAGAATATAATGTAAGAGTTTCGATTTATAATGTGAAAATGAAATGAGAATGAAAAATTAACTGGATTTTATGATTTGATTAGTTTTCACAAACGAATTTTTTAGTGATTAAAATCGTAATGACATTTCATTGATTTTAAGAGATTATGTTGGGGAAAGTAAAAATTTCTTCATATTACATTAAGTAGCATTTATACATATAATATATATATATATATATTGCTTTTTTGATATATCGTAGTATTTTCACATATTTTTGAGTGAACTAATACAAATTTAATTAACCTAATCGATTAAAAATTTATTAAAAATTATAATGTATATTCCAAAAATTTAAAAAAATTAAATTAAATAAATAAAATAAAATTAAATTAATTGTAAAAGTGTTCAAAAATGTAATTATTCCAATTTAAATTTTTGGAATACTGTTTACCCCACTGGCTGTACTATATATATAAATGGTAATTATTTTAAGGAATTATTTCGCTTAGCATTTTATTCTAATTAAATGTAACATTGTAACATTATTCTGATAAGACAAAAAAAAAAAACCACTAATGGGGTGTTTAACACATTATACAATTATAAAAAAATATCATGGAATTTTTAAAAAGTATTAAACGAATGGTATATTCACATTTCCAAAATATCTGGACATTTTTTTAAAAATCTAAATGTTTTCCATGGCTTTTGCTATTTTAAAAAAAACTCAACAAACCTTTCTGTAAAACCTTTCATAATAGTGATTACTAAAAAATAATTGAAATATTGAAAAAAAATATGAAATATCATCATGAAAATACCAATTTCAATTTGTTATACATCATAATTTTTTTAAGTTTAAAAACGAGAAAATGAATGCTTTTCAATAATCCACTGAGTACGATATATTCAAATCAAAATTGCCATCGTTTCTTTTTAAAGTTACACTTTTTTTCAATATACTTTTATAAAAATAAAATTTTTTAATCAGCAATCAGACTACCTGTTTGGGGTTTATTTTTTTATGTTCCCTTTCGATATAAACTTATCCCTGATAGTACTTTAAGATCAGTAGTTGTGAATTAAACTTAGGAATTATATATATATATATATTTATTTTCATTTTGTTCGAAACATTTATTAAATTAAAAACAAATTAAATATTCGCGTATTACAAAGGAAATATCTGTAAACTACAAATGAAATATTCCTATATTTTAAATGAAATATCCTTATACTACAAATGGAATATTCGTATATTACAAACGGAATATCCTTATATTAATGGTGGAATGTTATGCGTTTTTTTATTATATTAAAACCAAAGTGATCTATGAAATTCCTTTCTAATCTAAAATACTTTATAATATACCTTCACCGGTGGTATATGTAATGCTATATCTGTACAACAATCAAATCCCGTGATTCAAAAAAAAATCTCAGAAAAACACAATTCATTATTCGTGCTTATTTATTTTCTAATCTTATCAAAATCAAAAACAATGACGAAAACTTATTCGAACATAAACGATTTTCAAAAGGAAAGATTGATAAAAAAAAACACATCATCCCAAGCAAGAAAAAAAATAAATGAAGCTTAATTGACCAGTCTTTAGCAATTGACGGCCTTCGTCGTTAAACCCTTAAGTAGAGTTGACGGCCAATTCCCTAAATCCTGGCCGATTCTGGTGTTTCGTGACTGCCTTACCGGCGTCTTTACTCACGAAAAATGGCTTTCGTCGCTCACGAAAGTGCAGCGTGAGAAAAGTTGGCAAAAAGCATTATCCCGCGCGATCGATTTGAGATAACGTAACAGCTGGTGTGTGTGGGATCATTGCCTTTATAATATTTCCCTCTGATCTTGGCTGAATATTCTTTCGAATTTAAAATGCAGTGCTATATTATTCATGTCTTGCCTCATTGACTCGCAAATGACACCGGTAGAAATGTGCTCATTATGGGAATAATATTTGACACTTCGTGCATATGCGAAATGTGCTATAAAGGATTGTAATGAAAGTGGCTTTGATACTTTGAATAGATGATGACATATGTGGGGACTGTTCATTAAAATTGATGTTCAACGTATCATTAGAAGGAATATATAATGTACAAGAGTACTCACATGTATTTGTATGTTTCATTTAGTATAAAGTCATAATGAAAAATAAAAAAAAAATATTAAAAAAAAGATAAAGTTGCTGAGAAAGGATCGATATATATATGCTTGGTTTCAGAGTGTGTTAAATTAGTTTTTGGTGTCTAAATTTAAATTTTGTTTAATGTTCTTTAAACTATTTGACATGCATTTTAAAATTGTGATGTAATTAATTTGGATATATAAAATTTCTTCTATATGAGAAATTTGATATTTATTTTTATAATCTTTAAAACAACCTAAATGTATTTTTGTATTCGTGGTTACGTCTGATTATTTATTATTTCAAGCTACAGATTTTAAGACCATAAAAGGAGAGAGCAAAAAGTAAAAAGACAACAAAAAAGAAGGCTTCTTATATGAATAAGAAGCCTTCTTTTACAGAAATTTTATAAAACTGTTAATTTTTAATTTATCGTTTCCCATAATTTTCTTTCAGTCATTCTCCTTCTTTTTTTACTTGTCATCTGTTTTAATTTTGATATTACTTTCATGTTTTAAAATGTTGATGTTGATGTTTTTGTTATCTGCTTTTAGAAACCGACCACGTTTAATAATTTGTGGTGCATGAGCATTCCATGTAACATCGAGGAATTATTATAATTATTCTGGAGCTTAAGTATTTTAAATACATCAGGATATCGTGTACTGTGTATGCATACCACTGGCAGTGCACTAATTAGATTAGGAATGACTTCCTTGTGATGAGTTACAGCAGTAATTGTACAAAATGTGTCATATGGGGAAAAACTCGGAACATACCACCACATAACCTTATTATTGATGCAAGATAGGCTTATCATTAAATATCATCACATATGAAAGCAATGGCTGTAAAACAATCCATTAATAGATTCAAACCTGAGTTTTTCTGGCTTTCAAGTTGTTCTCATTATTATTAGTTCAGGTTACGGAAAGAACAAATAAAATCATTATAATTTACTTAAGAAAAATTATGAAAAAAGATTTAAAGTTTATAATATTATTTATTTATATTCTAAATTTATCGTTTATCATATATTTATTAAACGAAATTATTTATATTTACATGAGGAATGCGATGCAACCGTACGTAACATTTACCAATATATACCACACCCATAATTTCTCCTCGACTTAAATTTCTCTGTTATCATTGATTGTAACAGATAGAAATTATTTTATTAGAAAACAAGAAATAAAATGCAGAATTATCTTTACAGTGTTAAGAATACAATATTATTAAAAACTGAAATTGATAAAATACTTCGGTTCTAAGAAACCGCACAATTTATAGCTTAAAAATTTATTTGTATTCAAAAAACATTAAGTGAAGACAATTATTTGTTTGAAAAATAAATGTTACTCCCCCATGCCATTAATGCATTTTCCTCATTCATAAAATAGAAACTACCAGCTGTCAGCTAATATAAGTATTCTAATTGTACAGGATAACTCTTAGATGCTTGGGAAATATTTTATTGTCATTTATTGTAATATGTCATATAATACAATCATATTCGCGACTAACCACATTCTATATTTCTATTCTTTTTTTTTTTTTTTTTAATAAATCAACTTTAATTTTGAATTAGGCTATTTGTAAACTTCATTAAATTTCAGTTTATAAATTTTGACATTAGTTTTACAATCTATGAATAATTTGTGTTGGAGATAAATACTTCGAAATAAGCTTACATATGCTAAACATATATGTAACATGCCAATGGTAGTATTAACTGATCATATATTCAATATGTATTATTGATGCAAATGGATTAACAACTATTAGAATTTGAAGACAACAATGACAATGTTTGGATTTGACATACATATAAATAATTAGTTTCATGGCTATTGGAAATAGCAATGGATTATTGCTGAATGCCATAGCTACAAATTATTAACGAAGTTAATATTAAAAATAAGAGTAATGATTTTTTCGTTATTTCGGTATTAAAAGAAATTCGCTAAAAAACAAGGCAGAAAAGGATATACGATAATTTAATATTGATACTTAAAAAAAGTCAATATGCATCTATCTACAATTTAATTACTTATTTTTACATTTAGCAGAATATTATATATATATATATATATATATATATATATATATAATATATACGTATACGTATATATAAAAATTAGTGCATAATTCATATTTAGTTAATGTTCATTTATTTCATCTATATTTTGGAAATACAGTTTTCATTTTATTATCAAGCTCGGGGTGGTTTTTCCCCCTGAGTATAATAAGAAGATAGAATTAAGTTAAGATATTCAAGGGGTTGGGGAGACTGCGATTCAGTTACATGTTTTATGGAGCAAAAATCAGAAAACACCCTACATGCTGGTTAATAAAGAGGTATCTTTTATAATCTTGCTTTAGTTTTATTGTCTTTTAAGCTACTGTCTATAATGAATAATACAAATGGGATTTGAAATCGGGTTGATATGATGTTGTTGTTGTTGTTTCTTATCCCACTTGGTTGGCCAAGCCCACGATCCCATACGTGCTCATGATTGAACGGGGGAAGGAAGCAGCTTCTGTTGTGATGTTTAATTAATTTGTAAATGAGCACCCGTAGGTAGAATGCACTGACTTTTGCTCCGTGGCGCTCTTACAGTCATATGAGACCGGGACCTACGGCAAATAAAGTGGATTCCGAACGATGATTTACAAACATCCATGGCAAGCCGGGATTTCGAACCCGAAACCTAAATGGCACCGAGTGTCAGAGCGCTAGGACACTCGGCCATTCTGAAAGGTCCCAAATTTGCCAGCGGCACGCGGTGTTCCCAGGATAGGTCAGTTAAAATAAGGGTACTGACCGCGCCCAATGATGTTTTTGACTTCGGTGATCTAACGAGAACCGGTATATTCAGCATGGTATGGCCGTTGGCTATTGATATGATGTAGATTAATGTTTTAAAAGGAAATAAACACCTCCCAATTGGTAGTCAATAACAGACGTCTAAATGCGTTGTCTAAGTCTCCATTGAGTGTCTTAATTTGTGAAAGCTTTGACCCCCACCAGCAGATTTAAACAGGCTCTCCTGCATGCTAGCTTGCACATTACCCTAGGACAACAGTCTTGAAGTATAATAGTTTAAAATTAATAAATGATAAGAAATAAAAACAATGGTTTAATAAATACAATGGTTTTAAAAATTTCATTACAGCATTGTATTGCATAAATTTGTACACAAAACAGATATTTTTGAATCAATTTTAATCTTTAATATGCAGCTTAATCTAAATAAGGAAAAAACTAAAAACAAATAACATCGAAATGAAATCTTTGAAAATTTGATGATTTATATATATTTACAATGTCGAAACTTTTGAAGTATTTGCTTTGAGTAAACCAACATTGTGTTTAAATAGTCCTTACCTGGTTCAATATTTTTTTTTGTGTGTGGAAACATCTCGGTTCCCTTAAGGACATCTTCAAAATGAGTAAAACTCAATAAATCCGCTGAAAGTCAGTTCGATTAGTAAATCCTTATTTCCAACTGGAAGGAAAGAAACTAAAACAAACGCAGAAAAACAGCAGAAATATCATAGAAAGATTCATTCTCAAAATGAATCCTAGAAAACTCCCAGATAAATCCTAGAATCCTCTCAAAACTACTTTTCAGCTGAAGGGATGGGTTTGATTGAAAAAGTTTTCAATTTGACGGCAGTTCTCATATAGTACATATTTCTTTCAAAATGCACTTTTTTTCGGTTATTTATTTTGGAGAAATATTTTCTTTAAATCTTGTTGTCAATATTTTTGTCGCATTACACAACTCTATCGTTTCTCTCTCTTAAAAATTTCATTTCCATCGTTTTTTTTTTATTTTCCAAAGTCTTCTTTGAAGAGATATCATCTCGATGGCTGGACTGAAATTTATTAAAGCATATTAGATTTCATTTAGAGATTTGACGTATTATTTGAAATATAGTTAATTTACTTCCATTCGATATAGAATAGTTAGTAGTAAATAGTTAGAATATCCAATTAAATGCAATAGAAGTGAATTGATAAAATGCCAAGCTAATATAATTATTAATTTACTTCCATTCGTTAGAGTAGTTAATAGTAAATAGATAGAATATCCATTTAAATGTAATAGAAGGAAATTGATAAGATGTCAAGTTAATATTATATTATATAATATTATAATATTATATTATATCAAAGTTTTAAATAATAAAAAAGAATATTTTTTTCAAATGTTTATTTATTAATTGAAATCTAATGGAAGGAAATAAAAAAAGAACTAAACTTATTCAAAATTAATATATTTATTTAAATATAATAGTTAATAGTTAGAATATCCAATTAGAAGGGATTTGATAAAATGCCAAGTTAATATTATATATTATATTAAAAATGCAATGTTTTAAATGATTAGATATTTTTAATTTTTTCAAATGTTTATTTATTCATTAAAAACTAATGGAAATTAAACTTATTCAAAACTATTATATTTACTTACTGTTATAGTTATTTAAATATATTAGTTGATAATTAGAAAATTCACTTAAATGTAAAAGAAAGCGATTGATAAAATGTCAAGTTAATATTGTATATCATATTAATAATGCAAAGCTTTAAATAAAAAAATATTAATTTTTTCAACTGTTTATTCATTAAAAACTAATGGAAGAAAAGAAAAAATTATAACTGGAAGGAAATAATATACATTTCCATTTATTAATTACTTTCTCTCAATACTGCTTAATTTTTAATTTTATAGTACATTATATAAGATTTTATAAAAAGTTCTATTAATTTGAAATCTGCGATGTTTCTGAAAAAAAAAGTTTTTTTTTTTTTTTACAGTTACTAAATTTTTATCTGGGCCTGTATGGTTGAGTACCTAACGCTCTGCTCCTTGGTGTCACAGATTTCGGCTTCAAATTTCGGCGATACCATGGATCTTTGTAGTCGTTCGGAATCCACTTTTAGCCGTCTCATATGACTGTAGAGCATCACGGAGCCAAATCAGACCCATGGTGCTCCATCACAAGAGAAGCTGCCCACTTTCCCTGCAGCCGTGAGTTCCATACGCGTTCGTGGCCTTCGCCTGGATGTCTACCAAATGGGATAAGAAACAACAACACAACAGTTTTCATGTAAAGTATTTGATGTTTTTTTATTTATGTCAAAAATAATACTAATTTTTTTATTACACTATAAAATAAACAATTAAAAGAATCTGAATGACAGTAATTATAAATTAAATATTTAATGGATAGAAACAAACCGAAAAAAAATAATTTCAAACATTTCTCATATTTAAATTATTTTTCCCACGTCAATTTTCTTTAAAACGAAAATGAAAAATATTTTTTGTTCAACAAAGCCTATCAATATATTCATAATATGCCTTAAGAACTTAGATAAATCACTCAATTAAAGTATAGATGTAATTTAAGAACATAAAATTCCACAATGAATTAATAAATTTTTTAATAAATAACATTTTCCTGTAATTTATTGAGCCCTTCAGTCTTTCGTCCATACGGGTTCGTGGGCTTCGTCTATATTTCTACCAAGTGGGAAAAGAAACAACAACACAACAAATTTCATGTAAATTCTTTGAACTAAAAGCATTAATTTCTATTATTTTTTCAAAAATAATAGCTAACATCTTTTTATTAATTACACTACAAAATAAAAAATTAAATGAATTCGAATGACAGTAATTATAAATTAAATATTTAATGAATAGAAACAAACAGAATAAAAACATTTCAAACATTTTTCGTATTTAAATTCTTTTTTCCCACGTCAATTTTCGTTAAAACGAAAATGAAAAATATTTTTTGTTCAACAAAGCCTATCAATATATTCATAATATGCCTTAAGAACTTAGACAAATCACTCAATTTCCCGCAAGCTGTCATTCTTGTAAGAAAATATAATCTCAGGCAAAAGATAATATAAGCCGTTTTGAAGAGATTAAAAAACAAATCTGTCGTAATTTAACAAACTGTTCCGTGTCATTAAAATATAGCCCTTGATTAAAGTTTTAACTAATTGTTCCTCCTAGAATAGAAGAAAAAAAATATTTCTTCCTGAAACAACTTTTAAGTTAAGAAGTAAGAAAAAAAACCAAATGCTTTCGAAAGCGTTTTATATGACTAATTAAGCTGCATTTTTGGAAAAACTGGTTGGAAGAGAGTTTTATTTTAATATTTGAAAGAAATGGTGTCTTCATAACTGTCTAGACTTTTCAAATATTGCAATTCAAATGTTTTTTCATTGTATGCACGTTTGTTTTCAAAATATTTTTTTGAAGTTGCTTGGCATGAACATTTAAAGCATAGATGAAATTTAAGACTATAAAATTTCATGATGAATTGAATAATTTAAAATATGGTTGATAAATGTTTTCGTAAGTAACATTTGCTATGAATTGAGCAATTAATTGAGCATTTATTTGTCTTTTAAATGTGCATTGCTGATTTTTAAACGGAAAAATAAATAGGAAGTTAATATAAAATCTTAAAAAGTTAAATTAAATTTTAGAAGATTTTAGAATCCTATTTAGAAACAATTAATTTTAATCTAAACTGTCTATTATACACATATATATAAAAATATGCATTAATAAATATGGTAAATAAATATTACTTTATAAATATTGCAATTATAAAAACGTTTCATTGTATACACGAATCTTTTTTCACAATCATTTTTTAATTTATTTGATGTGAAAATTTAGAGCATAGATGGAATTTAAGAAAGTAAAATTTCATATTGAATCAGTAAAGTTTTTAATAAACAACATTTGTCTCTAATTAATTTAGAATTTGTTTATTAAACGCATAATGCTGATTTTTAAATGGAAAACAAACATCAAATTAAAGCAAAATTAAAAAGTTAAAGCAAATTTGAAATCCTATTTAGAAACAATTAATTTTAATCTAAAGCTCTTATATATACAATATATATATATATTTCAAAGATTGCATTAACAAATATGATAAAAAAATATTATTTTATAAGTATTGCAATTCAAAAATTTTTCATTGTAGATACATTTTTCAAAATCATTTTTTGTAGCTATTTTATATGGAAATTTAAAGCATAGATGAAATTTAAGAATATAAAATTTCATAATGAATTAATAATTTTTTAGAAAGCAACATTTATCTGCAATTAATTGAGCATTTGTCATTTAAATGTGCATTGTTGATTTTTAAATGGAAAAACATATAGTAAATTAAACTAAAATTAAAAAAGGTTAAAGTAAGTTTGAAATCTTTTTCAGAAAAAATTAATTACATGTTAATGTGTCTAACGCTCTGTCACTCGGTGCCACAGAACTTTTTCTTTTTCTTTTAAGGTCTCATATGACTGTAGAACTTCACAGAGTCAAGCCAGACTTCTACCTATGGGTGCTCCATCACAACAGAAGCTACCCCTCTTTCTCTTCACCTATGAGTCCATACGGGTTCGTGGAATTCATCAAATGTCTACCAAGTGGGATAAAAAACAACAACAACACAATACATTTTATGAAACCTATTTGATCTAAAAGCATTAGTTTCTATTATTTATGTCAAAAAATAATAATAAACTTCTTTTTTTAAATTACACTGCAACATAAGCACTTAAATGAATATGACTGACAGTAATTATAAATTAAATATTTAACGAATAAAAATAAGCAGAACAAAAACATTTCAAACATTTTTCGTATTTAAATTCTTTTTTCCACGTCAATTTTCCTTAAAAAGAAAATGAACATTTATTTTTTGTTCAACAAAGCCCATCAATATATTCATAATATGCTTTAAGAACTTAGATAAATCACTCAATTTCCCGCAAGCTGTCATTCTTGTAAGAAAATATAATCTCAGGCAAAAGATAACATAAGCCGATTTGAAGAGATTAAA